GAATTACTTAATAACTAGTGGCGCCTGTGTCCTTAGACTAAACGCTCTAATCAAGATTCAGTGGTCATATTATTATTGATAAATGCCAGTCTAGCTAGAACTATTCTCAGCTTTTAACATGTCGAGAAGAATTCGGTCTGAGAGGACGGTAACATGGGCTTAATATACGCCAATTTGCTGTCAACCAGTTAATGATTATTGTGTTCGTTTTGCAAGGACTAAATTACTGGGAAGTTAAAAGGTTCTTATAGTTGCAGATGTTTGGAAGATCGTGCTAGTCTTCTTACTGTGATTTTTCTCATGTATAATGAAAAATGCAATCCAGAACCCTTTAGAATACTTTAACTCTGGCATCCTTGCCCTTAGATAGGTTGTCATAGAGTTCTTTACCAAAACTATTCAACCGATCAAACCAGTCAACGACTTTGCAAAAATGGTTTCTGAAGTTTTGCTTTTCATATTGCATTCTTTCTTCGACTGATCATTTTGTAAGACATTCTACATGCTACCCACGATATTGCAACTCCACTTATGAATTATCTTCATTTGCTTGTCAGATAAGTCTGCATTTATCTATATATATAAAAGGAAGAGCGTCTATTTGTGTGTGTGTCTTTCGTTCGTGCTGCGAGTAAGCTAATAGACCCAGAGCTACGAAATTTGGTACATAGGTGCATCTAGAAAAAAGCCAGGGCACCTTGAAGCGATTTTGTTTCAAAATTCTAATCAGATTATTTTTTAATTTATTTTTTTCTGCCTCATTATATCAGCAACAATGGCACGCAACCATTGTTTTTGATATATCACCGTTGTCATTGTCGCTGATATCAGCACTGTTGCCACTCGTAAAAATGAGGGCGATAATTCTGTGCAGTTTTTAAATTTAATGTTTCTCTTGGGTACTGGGCGTTTGTCGAGAGAAGGCGAGAGAAGTTAATTTATTAGGATAATTAACATTTGTATTAGAGGATACTGCTTTTTTCAGTGCAATTTTTTTACATGTAATACATTTTTATTGAAATTTGTGTTTTTCTTTTTTTTTTTTTTTGAAAAGGTTCTCTTGATTTTTGATGACTAGCAGCCACGTAGCGATTACTCAGAAATAAAAGATACTAAGAAATACATACCATAAGCTTAACCCATAAAAGATATTCTACATTTAAACTTTACATTTTTTATCTCAGTTGTGCATATTGTCTAGCTAAACAATATATAATAAGAAAACACATTGATGCAGTACGTAACGCAGCAATTGAAAAATGTATTTTCTTGTGGGAATCCCAGAAACAAATTACTCAAACTGTTATAATTCACTTGAGAAATAATCTAAGAAATATACATCTTTTGAATTTAATGTTTACACACTAAAAATGAATTTACCAATTGTAATATCCTTCAGTTAGTGTTGATCTAACAGTAATTACTAATAAAGAAATTTTGATATTGTACATAAGCTTGATTCTAATGCAAATATTTGCAAATATGTTAAACATATATCTAAAGTAAAATAATTTAACACTGAATTTCTTTTTTGTAGATTGCGAAGAACGTGCATTTTCACTCAGCAATTTCTTTATATTTGCGATTAAAATATTTAATATTCTTCATTTTAAAAAATGCATGTTCTCATACAGTATGCTGCCACTAATCATATAAAGAAGAAGTAGTAGGATAAATCCAAAATCTGGTTTACGTAACATCTTTGTCTGTGGTCAAAAGACATCTTAGGCTACTTAGTCGCTCTGCTGGTGACCCATGAAAGAGTTAAATATCAGACCGTCGAAGGATTTAGATAAAATATGATGTTCCCTTTACTAAAATCTTTTAAGTCTCTTTTGTCTAAATATGCTTCAAATTAGTCTGTAGGAAACAGAGCAGAAATTATATTAATACTGGTTAACCTTAATGAAAAGGCTAAATTTTAAACTGAGAGGCTAGTAAGTGAAGCAGATTGATATCCAGAAAGACGCTAGAGATTTAAAAGGCTTTAGGGTTCTAGGTTTAGGAGAAATATTTCCTTATTCATCCAAGAGCTTGACATACGAGATTGTAAAAAAGATTATATACAGTCATTACAATTTTAATTTTTAACATTGCACTTTACGTTTACAATAATATCGCACCATGCAGTAGTCATTTAAACATAAGTCGTGACCTGTAATCTTCATTGTCAAATTTCGTCTGAAATAAGCATGCCTATATTATTGCCTTTATGTTTGTTTTGGTTTGGTTTATTTGATTATGCCAAAGTTCTCGAAGGTTATCTGCCTATCATCAAACAAGCGTGGAGCGCCACCGATAAATGGCGAAAGAATTCCAGCTGTTCAAGCTGGTTATGGGTAGAAATAGGAGTTGAACTGTACAGTGGCGCTTTAAGTCGCAATGAGCAGCATGAAATGATGGAAATAAAGTCCTTAACATACACAGTATTATGGACGTTAAAATACACACAAATAAGTTTTGGAAAAATATAATTTAATTAAAACCTCCTTAAAAATAGTTTTTCTTCCATTTCAACATACAGTAATTAAAGTGTACGTAGATCCTTTCTTCGGAAAAAAATCCAATTATCCGAATTTTCGATTATCCGAATTGGGTTCGATCCCAGTTGACTCGGATAGTTGGAGCTCTACTGTACTACTTCACATTTCATGATGATAAATAATAAAACAGAATACTGTCTACGTACATTCTAAACGGTACTATTTTTTAAAGTTCCTTTTCTTTATATTTGATGACTATTTTGTATTAACCCCTTAACCTACGATTTAGATTCGAAGATGTTGGGCCGAAATTGTATACAAGCTTGCGTAGCGTTAGGGACATTTGCACGACTTGTGTAACACGCTAATCCGGGCAATCATAAACATGACGAATTGTGCAATTTTCGAAGAAAGTATAGACGAATAATTATTGATGATACATCCGATGACACAACCCAATTCCTGTTGGAAGAAATGTAATAGTCCAAAAATCATGGACATACGATGACTCCGGCTAAGAGAGGAAGCTTTATGGCAATTAGGAGGAAGTAGAGGAAGTTGATATATTAATCTAATTTTGACCTATTTTTAACATATTGTAACCGAAACGAATCAGTATGCAGATCAAGTACAAAAATCCACATAGAACAAGAGTGAAAAGTGTAAAGTTCCGTTACATGTACCATGATGTTTTGAATACATCAACCGTTACATATTACTAATTTTGTATTTTGGAGTTTTGTATAAATAAACATTTTGTAATACTTGCGTCTACCACAATTATTGCATCAGACTGTAATTGCGTATCAAATATTCCACGTAATATTTACTTCTGACTTGATCACCGTACGCGGGCTATGCCCCCGAAAGTTAGGTTTGGACCGACCATCGTACGCGGGCTATGCCTGTCATTGTAGATTAAGGGGTTAAAAACTCTGTTTTTCACTTAAAATGCCGTAAACCTCCAAAACAATTCCCCATTTATTCATTGAATGATAAGACCGAAAGAGAAAACCTCGGAGATCAATAATATTCAGATCAACAACTCCCTAGGCTTCCACAAGGTTAGCTTGCAACTGACATACAACACCAGAATTGTGCTAGCACTATAGATTTCTAGTGATTGCTATTAACTTTTAGTTCTTACAGCAAAGCGTTTTATAAACTACTTTAATACTGGATTTGAAACAGAAATCAGTTTAAGTTAGTAAAGTTTCTCATTAAAGATAAATTAATTTGATTCTGCGCTAGAAATAACTGAGAAATAGTACGCAACAATCTTTTGCTGAGAATCGGACGTAACAAAATTCAATGCTCGTTACTGTCTAATTTTTTAATTTTGAATTTATGCATCTAAAATTAAATTGATACAACAGAGCAAATTTTATTACTTTTAGAGGCCTATCAGTAGGTTGTTTGAAAACAGGAACTAATCCTAGTTGTTTTGTTTACCTGACTAAGTATTTCAATTTAAATTCAAACAACCTGCAACATGTATGAACGAGTGCAGAAGTCAACGGTCAAGAAAAGAAAATTGAAGATAGCATTTGCAAGCAGATATTTTTCTTATAATTCGACTAAACCTGTGCCCAGCAGGGGCTGTGGTGCCATTCACCATTAAAATGAAATTCCCTGAACGCAGTGATTGGATTTTTACGTAGTTTTATTTCTGTTTATTTGGTGGTTATTGTAAGGTCTTCTGAAATATCTTTATATAAATGGACTCAAAGATACGTTAAAAGGAACTCACCAATTGTGTTTTCACATGTAGAGATTCAAACAACAACGAAAAAAAATAAGTATCTTAATTAAGATTTGAATATATGTTTTTGGATTTACATCCATAAATTCCCATTAGAAATTTTTAAAGACAGAGATATAGTATTTTATTGAATTAAAAAAGCAGAGCTCTTAAATTAAAGATATACTTCTTGTGTTTGTTAGGGAAATAACTACTTCATTTCTACATGATATTTTAAAGTAATATAACAATTGTCACTTTTCAGTTTTTCCCTTTCTCTCCACATTTCAGATTTAAGCAATATTTAAGCTCAGGTTTTCATTCACATACGTTTATTAAATCAGGGAAGACTATATTATAAAATTACGCAAAAAGTGAAATTTAAATACCAGATGGGCAGCTGAACAAATTTAAAAAAGAGTAGCAAATAAAAATTGAACTATATTACGAAAAATAGAATGCCAATTTAAAATTTTAGCTACGTCTTTAAATTGTTTCAAAGTGTAATAGGAACAATTATCTGTTACCTTCAAAACGTGTTTGTGGTTTTAAAGTAAGTTTAGAACGAGCACAGTTTGTTACAAACATTTCTTCTTTTTGAATCATTACTACTCATAAATTTTAGAAGTTCTAAACCACCATTTTTAACAGAATACAGGTGAAACGGAGTATACACTCTCGTGAAAAGAGAAAGTTTTTCAAACATTTCTCTAAAAATCGTTTAAAATTTGTTCGTGCCCTGACCCATTTAAACAAGCAAACATTAAACAAAAGAGTACTTGCACAAAATAACATTTTTATTGACAAAAACACATTTATGTCTTACTAATACAAAAGACGTAACATAAAAGGACAGTTCAAAGAAGATAAAAGTGTTTACCCACCATTACCTTATTGACAGTAAGAACTGCATCAAATTATGTTTTATCACGACAGAAAAGACTGCAAAACATACGTAAGATTACCTTTATAACCGAAATTATCTAGGTTTGTATTGAGATTCATTTGGGAAACTATATTTGTCTTCCTCTTTCAGCAAGGATCTAGTATTTAAGCAAAAGGATTTAATGTAATTTGTTGTTCTCATCCTTAGCTCATTCTGTTAAAGAGAGAAGACATTTGAAATTCTGGAAAATACATTTTAATATATCAGAAGAAGCATATATGGCGAGATTATTCATATTACTCACATGATATGATGCAGTTCTTGCATGTCGTAGCTAAGCACACTGTGCTGTCATTAAAGATTTTCGTACCAAGCGAAATCTTTCGTATAACACCATATAAGGAACTTAAAATACCCGATGCAGTGCTTAAACGTAATATTCTCAGACTGTATCGTTGGATGAGTTGTAAAAAATAATTTAACTTATTTATGAAGTAAATTTTTGAACCTAGAAACAATATGAAGAGAGTTGTAAAAAATAATTAACTTATTTATGAAGTAAATTTTTGAACCTAGAAACAATATGAAGAGAAATTAGATGAAATGTTTAACTAGCAACTAAATGCTCAAATTTCATGACTTAGTCGAACTTATAGTGAATGTATGCTTTTTATGTCAAATATATTTTACGCATTTAAGCCGATTAGCATATATCCAAGGCTAAAATTGCTTTAGAATATTCCGCTGCAAAAGTTTAAAACTCATAATTAAAAGTAAACACGAAATTCATGCATAAAATTTTAATTTTTTTCAATGATAAAATATTTCAAATAAAAAATGAGGTTTAAATTTATCCAAAACATGCAAAATGTATTTTAATGAAATACTAATGAAAATTAAAAAAACATAAGAAAATATATTAAAAATCAAAAAGTGGAAAGCAATTTTGCATAAGCAAATAGCATTGTTTAAAATATTTAATAACTATGCTATTTTAAGGAGTAAGAAATATTAACGTATCCTTAAAATTGCATAAAGTATAACTATCTCATTACATAGCGTGGAAATTCATTAAGATATCAAAATTTAAAACTATAAAATTGGTCATATAATATATTTCGCTTGGCACATAAGTATAAAAAGAAATTAGGAATCAAACACCGAAATTACAAGAGCACGTTCACCTTGATAAAGAAAGCATTCAGTAGAAGAAAATTCAATTTTAATATTATCACCTCCATAATTTGGCTGAAAAGTCCATTTCCTGTAATCTCAAGAGCAAAGAACACCAGAATTCTCCAAAATAAAAACACAAGTAATATTATTTGGCAACAATTTTAAATGACCATAAAGAGGTGAGAGCTTTGTTTCGCTTATCGCACACAAGATTTAAAATAATCACGAAATAATAAATTGTTTTAAGCATGCTTCATATTTATTACACACATCTTTCATCAATGAAGATGTAGCATTGATTCAGTTAATTACTTGAACTTCTGAAAAGCTTTATGGCATGATTGAAAACTCTAAGGTACTTATTGTAAAATTTGAAATTCATACAGATTTAATACTTGTACACATGAAGTTCAATCACATGTCAGGACAGTACACTTAAAACAATAATTCATTCCTTGGACTAATTTATGGCAAAAAAGAGCTCAATCCACACAAATGTAAGAGTTCAAAAGTCTTGGCATTTATAAAATTAGATGAAAGATATCAGGAACCGTAGAATTGAAGATATTAAATAACAGTTAAAACGCAATCACATTCTAAATATTGTTCGATAAAACCAATTAAATTAAAATAATCCTAGGATGGATCACACTATGTTATCCACGATTGCTGTCATAGCCTGTGTTTCCAACCCAGGGGTATTTGACGGGACAAGGCTGGCAAGTCTTCATGTACCTGACACCGCCCTGGTACCATACATTGCACACTGTTGGAGAAGGACAAGGTGGAGGTCTGTCTAGTCGTCTGCAATTGAATGGTTCAAAATCTTTTAGTTTATTTGATGGAGTTGGGTTTCTCATCCACTGGATGAGCTGCCAGTTGGTAACTAACCAGACATCATCTTTCTGCAAAATCTCATCCAAAAATTTCATAAATCCTCGTCGATGATGCTGCGTATTAAACCATGCTGAATGATAAAACAGACCAAAAGGTGCTCTATTTGATTTATAATGTCTATTAAAATTCTTCATTAGCATTTTGGTGACGGCTTCTTCATCTTGAGGATTGGAGCAAGCATCACCCATGGAGCAGCGTCCTCCCCTTAGGTCCACCCACATGACCATGCCAACTTCCCAGAGTCCTGGAAACGACTTTGTTGGACAAGGGAAAATCATACATTCGTGGCTTTGGGCATAATCGAGTGTGTAAGGCCAGAAGGGAGGATTGTTCTCGTACACAGGCATGGAAGAGTCATAGGTGAAATTAGCATCGTACAACATTTCAAACATCTTGTTGCCACCGATTTGGAGGAAAGGTGCGCGCATTCCGCGTATATCTTCCATTTTGACTCCACCGTACATGTGCAGAATCTCCCGCTGTCCGTGAATCTCACGCATCCATTGATTCTTTGAGAACTTCTCACCGTAGCTATGACTGTAAAAAAAATTCAAAGAATTAGTATTATGAAAGCAGTAGATTACAAAGACAATTTTAAAAAATTTTCTTTTAACGTAGGAAAGAGTCTCGTGCCGAATCCACATCTATGAGTAATTAGTATTTACGAGAACATAACTAAATACACGTACTAGCCTTTCTAAGAATCAACTTTGCGGAGAACCAACATCATATGGAACGATGGTGGTCTACCTGAAGAGGGTTCACTGTAATCAGAGATGTCAGTCTGGTGTACGGTCTTTAAAGTTCTCTTAAATTTCATACAAAAGAAAATCTTTTTGCACCTATTTCATAACTGATACTCATTTAATTTTCAAATAACGGTAACATGATTTAATACATTAATTAAAATTAACCCCTTCGCACCGACTGTCACGTATACGTGCCAACAACGAACACACTTATCTACCGGCCGACACGCAGGCGTGCCAGAACATTGTTGCGTTTTCTACCGACTGTCACGTATTTGTGCCAGTACCTTGGAACGTTTTTCAAACTATAATTTCTGCCACAAGATGGCACTGTATTCCATATGGTTTCAGATACATGTACATTAGACCTTCTACTCGAATGAGAGAAGCATGACTCACATACACGTGTTTTGATTATATAAACAAGGGGAACTAAATGTTTCCGAATGGCGTGATTTATGACGTCTCTTTAATCGCACTTTATTCGCACGTGTAGTTGTTTATTGTAAGTAGAAGTTTTATATGCGCTAAAGCGTTGAGTATTTCGGTTTACAGTTCAGTTTTTAGAAAATAATTAGATCTTGTTAGAGTGAATTCTTTCTGTTTTTACCGTTACAATGTCGAAGCGCGAAAAATGTTTAACAGAGCATGAAATAGCAGAAATGATGCAAAATATTTCAGATATTGATTCTGAAATTCAGATATTCTGATATTGATTCTGAAAGATTAACTGAAAGACATTTTCCAAAACTTTGTTCAGAAGAGACTGATAGAAAATGAGACGACGATGCTTCGTTTGTTCACATTCCCAGAAAAATCCTCCAAAACGGCAAATGAGTTATTACGAGTTCAAGGAATGTAACGTAGGACTGTGTGTAGATCCCCCCGTTTTAAAATTTTTCATACGAAAGAGAATTTTAAGTAATATATTTAGTTTTCAGATGTATAATGTTAAAAGTCATACAATGGTGAGTAATTAAAATAAAATGTGTAAAATATGCATTTAAACAAGAAATAAGGTAATTAAAGTATACATATAAAAATATCTATAAAGCATAAGCCGTTTAAATACTCTATAGAGCATTATTAAACAATGCGTTGATACTTCTTCGAGATTTCATGATTTTAGGCTTAGTAGCAAAAAGCCCCCGGCCCTGGAGGAGAGACGCTCGCGGAAGACCTGACGGCCTCCGCGATAAGCACGCGTTTTCGCTACCCCGGCTCGAAGGGGTTTTAATTTTTAATTTTGCCTTTTTCATAATATTATATTTCATAATATTTTATTTTTCATAATATTTGAAAGATAAATAATTTAAATAATTTCTTTTCAAATTTTTATGGGATAAAGACACGTCTAAAAGTAATTAGATAATTAATGAAAGCGTCAAAATACTGAAATTAAAAGTGCTGAGCTGAAAGTATTTTTCTATAGAAATTAATTGGGAATGCTTCTACAGAAATTAATTGCGAATGTACGTAAACGGGGAACTAGTATTAAAAATGTTGTGCTGTATTTCAGTTTTGATAAATACATTTACAGACTATTAAGAGCAAAATCCGAAAGCATTCAGATTTTAATTGTCGCCCAAAAGGTTTTGTTAAGGTTTTTTTTAACGCTCTCCCTGAGCTTGCAGTCTTACCAGTCTGTTGTTTAACTTACTCCAGCTAACCCATTGCTTTGTCTTTTTACTTTATTATTAAGTATCATTTTCTTCGCACTTATGTCATAAATTCAACAACAAAATTGAAAATTTTTAAGAACAGCCTAGTAGCATAAGATTAAAATTTCCGATGTCGTGGCAAGTGTTGGCATATATTTTTCTACTTTAGTTCCTTCTCAGTTTATCAAATCAATATTCAGTTTCCTTAGTAAAGGGTGGCTTGTAAAACTGTCTTTTTATAATTGTTTTCTGCCTTAAATTTATTAATTAAATGTCACGTCCTTCATACTTATTCCACATATATTTGAAATCAACATCAAAATTACAAAATATTTCAAAACACCATTTCTTTTTAAATTTCTGATAGACAGCCTCACGCACTGGAGATAAAAAAAGTTTTATTCTCTTCAGTGTTGCCACAGTTTGCTTCGAAATCGCCGAGTTTGTTAATCAAAAATTCCTTAGAGTTTTACAAAATATGAAATAGGTAATAAAACAAATTCCAAATTAGCACTTCTAGGTGCCCATGTTCGACAATGTGACGAAAGAGTGAAAACAACGTTATTCAGAATTTGACGCCTCTAGGTACCGTTGCTTTTTCACAATACGAGAAACATACATACATGTATTCATGCAGTTTTTATTTAATTTCTTTAAATGTAATACAGGGTGATAATACTTGATGACGCACGATTTGAAAATTCATTCGCCGTTTACAGTGGATGACGCAAAATCCCGTTTCGAGACCAATAGCCCATTCGGGCTAATATCGTTTTGGATTAAAAATAATTTCTCATACTACCAGAAATGTATGTGTATATGTGTATGTGTGATTATGGCAAAGCCTCGAGGGCTATCTGCCTAAGAGGAGGGATGCCTTTCGTGGAGGACTTTCCAAGGGAAACTGGCTCGTATACACACCAGAAATGTATGAACCACTTGGAAAAATTCTTTTAAAGTGGTATTAGATGTTTTAAGTGCTATTGAAGGCACTAATCTTTTCACGATTATATATTTGATTTAAGATACTTACATAACAACTGATTCATGGGTATTAAATAATTCATAATTAAAACTTGGAAATATATGAAACGTTTTCTTTACAAACTATGCGGATAACGTTTCGGTTTTCAGTAGACTTCAGCGACAAAGTTGAAAGAATGAGTAATCCCACTGAAGCTGCAAAACTAACACGTGGACAATAGTTCTCAATTTGCTTTCGTGGTAACGGCGTCTGCTTACAGAAAGCTTAAGTGGAAGTCTTCAAATTTTATAGTAATGGAATACTTGTCATTACGAATTCAGTGACCGAACAGCAATAAAATGTTCATGTCATCCATATATCTTAAAGTAGTCTATTGGAAACAAAAATGAGAATGTTTCTTATTTTCTTATTTATAATTTGATGCATAACAAGAAATCTCATCATATAAAGAGTACAGATCTGAAGTCGTATCAGGAGTTAAAAAAATATCATAACGAAGAATGAAAGAAGAGTTGAAAAATGGGGTTTGAAAAGTCAGTTTCTACAAAGCAATCCAAAAGCTTTACAGTGTATGTGTGATTATGGCAATGCCTCGAGGGTTATCTGCCTAAAGAGAGGGATGCCTTCGTAGAGTACTTTCTAAGGAAAACTGGCTCGTATTCACGTTACACATGGGGAAAACCACGGAATCGCCCATGCAGCCAGCCCGTTCGCGGGATTCGAACTTCGGACCGAACTACCAGTGTTCAGCGACTTTACCGCTCGGCCGCTGGGGGCTCCAAAAGCCTTACAAATATGTCAAAAAGATTCATAGTCTCAGAAGGAACAGATGTCGGAGACCAAACTGTTATAATATCATTTCCCCTCAGATCACAACTTTTTAAGAATTTCATCTCAAAAGACGCTACACGCAGTTTGCAAAAAGGACTTCATGCATTGACTATCCATTTTCAAACTAATAATGCTTTAAAATTTATATTATAATTAATCATACGCATATATGAAAAGTTACTACTTGTTACGTGGCTATTATAAATGATCTAAAAGTGCAAAAAAGCTTTAAAAAAAGGCCCAAAAAATAGGTAAGTGAAAATGTGTATAAGAGCTCATTAAACTGACCGAGTCGTTGAAACCAATGTCAGGGATATTTTCAATATAAATTGTTTCATGAAAAAGCAGAAAGAAGACACTTCTATACCAATGGCTTGTTACATTACATTCATTAGATATCCTGCTTTATCATGGTTATAAGAAACTTTACTTATATCCAAGTAAAACGGCAAATTATATTTTGTGCCATAATTTCACTTTTATGCAATGAAAGCATAAAAAGCATTACTCAATATTTGAGACCGTTTACTCGTACTTTAAGAGTTTAAAAAGAATGGTGCATTTCAAAGTACAACTTACGTGATAGAATGGGATGCTATTTCGTGGCCCTTTGAGTATAGAGTCTGAACTTGGCCGTAATCTGTCCATTCATGTGACACATAGAAAGTTCCCAAAATAGGACATCCGTTAGGATTTGCTCTGCCTGTGTTGAAAAGTTCGTCATAAAGGTCGTTGTTGAGGTCATTTACAGCATCGTCGAATGTCAACAGAACGAGCTGAGGAACTTCGTTCACTCTAAGACCCTCGGGGATGTCTGAACCTCCACAGCGACAATCTGGCAGCCTGCACTTTCTAGGGTCACACTTCTGGGCTTGAGTATAAGGTTGAGGTGTTGGATATTGATTGGGTGGTCTAGATGGTGGGCTGGTTGGAGTTGTAGCAGCGTAAGACGGTTTGGTTGGTTTGACAACTTGACTAATAGGAGGACGAGTTCTAATTTTAATAGGTGCTGGAGTTGTGGTTGTTGTAGTCGTAGTAGTGGTCGTTGTAGACTTCCGAGGTCTAGTAGGACGAGTTCTAATTACTACATTAGATCTAGTTGTTACTTCAGGAGTTTCCTGTCTTGTATAGTAATCACCAGTGAAATGGTCTTGAGAAGTACCATATTCATCATACTCAATAGACTTTTCATCAAACCTTTCTGGAAATAAGATATCTTTTACTTGAGGATCTCCAGTTTGCTTTTTGTTTGACTGTTCATTTTGATGATTTGGATGCCTCTGAGAAAATGCACTTTCTTTCTGAATATCGGTAATGCTTTGAGATTCAATCACATCTGGTATTGTATCGAGTTTCTTGCTTTGTCTTTGAACTCCGGTGTATATCCCAAAATTCGCGTTTACAGAATCGAGTTGGAATGGCTGATCTAAAGTAATATCTTCATTACTAGTATGGAGAGGAGGTACGGTACCAGGCTTTCTACTTTCTTCGTTACTACTTCGATCTCTGGTTTCTGAATACGTATCTTTGGCACCAGTGGATACAGAGGGTACGACTTTTACATTGTCTTCTTGACTATTTTCTTCAAATGTCCTTGACACGTCCCCAATTGCACGACTAGGTTGTTCTTGAGATCGACTTAAGGGTGGAGTATTTCTGTTAAGTTCACGAGTACCTGAAAATTCCTCATTAAAACGCCTGAAGTCTTCTTGTCCATCACGATTGTTCTGGGGGTATTCTACATCTGGATCTCTACTTCTACCATTATTTAAAATAATATCTAAATTTATACCATTATTTTTCTTCTCATCTGCCTGATTATCTATTCTTGTCAAATCAATGACCCTTATATCTTTATTTCTTTGATTATCTTGTGATGAAGGTTGTGTTCGTAGAGGAACCTCAGATCCGAAATCTGAAGGATGGTCATCAAATTGTATTTCCGGAATTGTGATATTAGAAGTCCTCAGATTACGATCATTGTTAATATTGAGTTTCTGGAAATCTATTGTATCAGACGTCACTGGAGGAACTGCAGGTTTGCTCTGAATGCTTGCATCTTTATCTGATTTTTGGCCATTTCTGGAAAGCTCTGAATTTGGAATCCTTTCTATGAGGGATAAATCTGAATCCTTAGATAATTGTAAGTCTCTAGCTAATACAGCACTTTGATCAGGATTTTTGCGTACTGGTGTTATGATATCAAAACCGCCATAGTCAATGTGATCTACGTTATCATCAAAAATAGTCGGTGGTGGAGTGGGGAGTCCTTTTTTTCTTTCTTCAAAATCGTAATTTAATTGTTTACCATCGGAATAATCTATTATTACATCTGGATCTTTTGATTGCCCATTATTTGGATAACTTTCCAAACTTCTAGGCTTAGTGGACAAGCTTGTTTCTTTATTACGTTGGTAATCTTGGTCCCGATCTTGATTACCAGTATTTGCATTGTAAATTGGCTTCTCAAGTACTCGGAAATCACCAAGTCCCGGCAAATGCGCCAATCCTCCGAAAGCATCCAGACCATGACCACCATCTGCAATATGAATGCCACCTTCTGAATCAATCAGAGGTGGAGCAGCTTCTTCATATTTTGGTTCTTGAGGATCATAATTATCCAATGGTATCTGAAATAAAAGATTATCGTTAATCAAGAAGAAAAAAATATTTTCTTAAAGATTGGTGCTAATTAGTTTAAGGAATGCCTCTAAAATAGTATCTTCAAAATTATCTTCAGCTTAAAAAGTTTCAGTTTAAGCACCTGAACAAGTGCCGGATGCTTCCTTATAATGTAAAACTTACTGAAACTGAAAATTATTGGAAATTTCATGTATTGTAAAATGTTATTTACCTTTTACAAAATAGCCTTAAAGCAGAAGAAATTAGTATAATTGGCATTATGGAAATTAGTACAATAAACTGCAGTTTACTAAACACAGGTAGGTATTTTATACCCATGAAAGAAGGAAATCGGTATTATGTTAACATGCAAGTCTATTGAAAGATTTAAATAGAATGCTCCTTAAAAAATGAAAAAATTAGTACTTGTGGATAGATTTTAATGTACAAGGGAAGAAATAGGAAGAGCAAAAATTCCGAATATTGTTAACGAGCCATTCCTGATGAAAGAAACAAAATGGAAATCCTGAAAATTTTTTGTTTCTCCTTTTCGGCAAGAGCATATATCATTAACATCCAATGAAACCAAATATTTTTACTCTTTGAATAATAGAAAAAGGAAGATGCGCATCTAGATGCATTGAAATATAATTATAAAAATATTTTCATACTGATGGATTGAAATTTATAATTACAAGAAATATTTTCATAATCATGAATTTCAATATAATTACAAGAAATATTTTCATACTTCATTTAAGGCTTTAAAATAACTGGAGCCGCAAATAAAATTTAAATTAAATTCAGGACATTTAATTAAGAATCATTAACTACAGCTCGTTCTGAACGGAACAGCATAGGAAAAAAATCATTGCGTCCAAAAATGTAGGACAAAATATTCACCATAACCTTAGCAAAGTTTAATGTTATCAGCAGAGAAGATGTGGATTCTAAAAACATGTATTTTCCTTCATTGCATATTAAGTGCTTATTCTGCTTAACTCATTGCATATTATGCTTAACGTTTATAAAGGGCCCACCAGCGGTCGAGCGGTAAAGTTGCTGAATGTAAATAATTCGGGTCGAGGTTCGAATCCCGCGAATGGGCTGGCTGCAAGGGCATTTTCGTGGTTTTCCCAAGGTGAAACGTGTATACGAACCAGTTTCCCTTACAACCCTCCACGAAAGCATCCCTCCCCTTAGGCAGAGAACTCTCAAGGCTTAGTGGGCAAATAATTCGGTTTCTCTTAATCACATAAACCAAAACAAACTTTTTTAAGAAACATTACACAAATTGCTAGGATTTGTGTAAATGTGAAGCGTTTGTTAATATAAGTAATGGGAAAAATCAAGAAAGTGGTTTTGGTGACGCCACAATAAAGAATTTGTATTTGCTGAAACTCTAAAATGGAATATAGGCTAAAAGTTTCAGACAATGTAGTATCTGTTTCTTTGATGCACATATAATTTATTAGATTATTAGATTACGGTAAGGCACTCGAGGGCTATCTGCCTTAAGGGAGGACTTCGTGGAGGACTTTTTAAGGAAAACTTGCTCGTACACACGTTACACATGGAGAAAACCACGAAAACAACCATGCAGCCAGCCCATTCGCGGGATTCGAACCTCGGACCGAACTACCAGTGTTCAGCGACGTTACCGCTCGGCCGTTGGTGGGCCGTTGCACATATAAAGTTATACACAATTAAACAATATTTAACTATGCTTTGCAGGACATTTGACAGTTCCGATTAAATAGCTGTATTTAGAAAAAAAGGATGTTTCATATATATTGACAAAAATGGTCAAACTTTTGTACTTTCATCAAAGAAATTAATTCGCATCAAGAATAAAATCCAACATTTTGAAAAACTAAAAAAAATGAAGTTAAATATTTTATGGAGGGAAAAATATATCTGATTATATTTTGATTCAACAGAAAATTTAATTCCGGGAACTCAAAGAGTAAAATTAAAAGAATTATCACAAATGAAATTATCTACATCGGACTATATAGTATTCGAAAAAAGAGCTACAAACTTCATTTCCACGAATAACAGGTCAAGATACGGACTTCCAGTTACAAATTGTTTTAAATAGAATGGAAGAGAAATAAATGGAAACAGTTTAATTATTGTGGTTTAACTATTTGTCCTACATACAGAATTCAACATTTTGTACGATTTCCATAGAGCAAAACTTCCATTCAATAAAACGTTTATGCGTTTGCAAGTTTCATACTTTTCCATGAAGATTCGCAGATACATTATGCAGTGAATTTATGGACTTTGTTTTAATGATTTTTATTGTTATTATCATTAAACTAAATTTAAGAAGCAAGTTCTCAGATTTTAAACGAAATTTACAAGGAACTTAAAAAATGCTGTTCTGAAAGATGTTTTCTCCATACCATACTAGATACAGTACCATATTAAGAAAATATCACTCGTTATAAATATTCATCAAAGTACGTACATTACTTCGAATTTTGCATGCTAAGCTATTCAGCTTATTAAATCTTAACTATTTTACCTAGTGCACGTGTTGCTCGATGGAAACGCCATAAGATTTTACATTTTATAATGTTCCTATTGACAAAACTGAACATTTAGTATATTATGACAAAGCACATTAGAAATATCTGCTTCAGGGAAGGTACGCCTTCGCGGCGGAGTTTTCAAATGAACTGGCTCGTATACGTGTTACACACGGGCAACGCAACGAAAACGCCCACTCATTCATCCCCGTTTGCCTGCAATCGAGCCCAAGTCGAAACTACTAGTGTTTAAGCGACTTTATGCTCGGGCGTTTGTGGACCCATTACTGTACGGTATTCACTTATTTTGCTGCTTTATTTTGAAAACTCTTGCAACTAAGCACATGCCTAGGGAAATTTAAGGAAATATGGCTTCTAGATAACTTTTCGAACACTTTGCACTATAATTAAAGAAGAAAAAAAACCGAAAGATTTCATATTGCACCCAAAGGGACTTTAAAATTTTTGTGAGAGACCTTTATCTATTAAATACGCATCATGTTCTTCGCATATTTTAAAAATTTCCGATAGACAGCCTCGCGCGCTGGAGGTAAAAATATTTTATTCCGCACAATGTGTTGCCACTGCTCGCTTTGATATCTTTGAGTTTGTTAATCAAAAATTCTTTAAAGCTTTATTAAATAGGTAATAAAACACACACAGAATTCGAGCTTTCACGTTCCTATGTTCGGATGGAGGATTAGGTTATTCAGAATTTGATGGCTTTATGTACTATCTTTTTTTCCTACAATGCAAAAAACATACATTCATGAAGATTCTTCATTATTTAATTTCTTTATATATAATACAGGGCGATAATATTTGGCGGAAAACATTTATATCGTGATTCGCCGTTTATAGTGAAACACCACGAAATGATGTTTAGAACTTTCTGAGCTATCTCCCCTTTAGGCTAAAAATATGAATTAGGCATGATTTGACAGACTATAATATGCATCACTATCAGTACTTTTATTACCTCCAGTGGTGCAAAATAAATGTATAAACATGTGAGCAATTTTATGAAGTTTTAAATAGTCTCACCTTGCTGTGCTCATCACTGGCATATAGCGGATCTTCCGAGGCACTTTCTGACGAATCTTGACCAGCTGCAGATTTGTCTGAATAAGTCGTTTGGCGGTTTTGTTCGTACTGAGAAGAGGCTGTTGTGGCTTCTGTTGTGGATATTCGCTGAGGAGATTTCGTTGGGTATGGTGTTTCACTCTCTTTTATAGTTTCGGCGCTGTTTTTGGAATAATCTTTGGACTCTTGACTGCTATTATCATCAAATTCTTGGTAATTCGGCACGGAATCCTTTTCAAGGTTCTGATGTTTTAGCTGAGTCTGGGAATCGTCGCTGGAAGCTGTTGCAGACGACTTACGACTGGAGCTGAAGATCTCATCTTCGACTTCTGAAAAAAAAAGATGTTCTTAAAGTTTCTTTGTTAAACATTTCATATTTGTAAGAAATAATATTTTAGGAAAATTAAATTGACTAATGTTCCTATAAACGCATGGAAGCAATTTAATTCTAAATAGTTTCATCCACAAATCATTCAATTTATTATTGAATTAGTTGTAGAATGTGAGAAGGATACAAGTAATATTTGATGGAATAAAAAGAAGGCTGTTGTTTGGTAATAACTTAAAGTCTCTTATTTTTACAATAAACAGACTTCAATACACGCTAATGCTATAAAATTTCGTCAATAGCATAGAACTGTTAAATAACTATGGATTCGACATAAATGCATAAAATGTATAGATAATAATAGTCATATATTCTAAAAATAAGGTATTAGTTACTATTGTTTGATAATAGTTTAAAAGTCTCTTGTTTTAACAGCTAACAATCGTTCAATAAACTATTGCTATAAAGTTATTTCGTCAACATCCTACAACTGTCATTTAGCTTCGGCATCAATGCATAAAATCTACGGATAATTCTATCATAAAATAAACATTAAACTCTTTTAAAAAAATTTCCCATGCCAGTGGCATAATTACACATGGCGTCAATGGCAGCGAGAGAATTGAAAAAAAAAAAAACTTCAATGTGCTATGTAATTACAACAGTTTGCAGCCATCTGATGTTAGTGTTATTTGTAAGCTCAGGTGTTGTGCCTATTTGCTTAGAAAGCCATAATTGGCGAGTATCCGCTAGAATAATTGGTTATTCATGTAAACTGAGCACTGCAGTAGACTTAGACTAGATTTGTTACTTTTAGTCTTGTTTAATGCCTATACTGCAAACCTCGTACAACTCAATTACAGATGATTTATACTAAAAGTGCTTCTCAGAAAATGTATGATATTTAACCAGTTAATTGTGATTGACGAGTGTACTTATCATGGAGAAGCGGCACGAATTTGTGTATTGACGAGTATACTCGTCATGCGTATAAAGCAGTGTGAGCAACGCGCGTATAAAGCAATGTAATAGAAACAGAGAAATAGAAAAGAAACCGGAGCTAGTGATTGATTACAATAAAAAAATGGGTGGAGTGGATATGAGCGACGGAATTATCATAGCGTATTCCACAGCAAGAAAACGACTTAAAAAGTATTACTAAGATATTTCTCCAATTCTTAGACATTATGTCTGGATGCATTCAGATTATATAAAAATAATGGAGCATTATCGGAGCATCAATAATGGAGCATCAACTTTTTGCTCAACTTATTGACTTTTGCAACGTATCCAATTGAAAGAAATAAATCGACACAAACTCGGCCATTTAGATCTAATATAAGCCAATTAGGCGAGAATGGTATTCCGAATTATATACCCGGAACATCGAGAAAAAAAAAAAAAAAAAACCTTACGCGAAGGTGCTCGCACAAGTAAATATTAGTAATAAAATTTTCAATTTTATAAAATAAACCCATTTTTTTCATGCAATATCTTACCAGCGCAACTTATTCTGTGATTGACGAATATCCACGTCATGTATATTCTGGTATAATATACATGTCATATTCTGGTGACACAAAACGGTGCGCAACGACGGCGCCACAGTTAACTGGTTAAGAAAACGTAAGACTGCATTTTAATACAATACTATGCCCAGGACTTGCATGAATATGAAAGCAATATTCTAGGCAGAAAAATGTTTACGATGGTGTGATATTTTATTATCATTATATCTCTGCTAAACTATGGCAAAGAAGTCTGAATCTTTTGTATCCAAACAGCTATTAAAATATATTCGCGTTGCAGCTACTAAGTTAACCGCGCGAATCATTGCTCTTATACATTAAAAATATTTTCCCTCTGAATTTGGAATTTCTAGTGTAAGAAATGTGTATATCACCTACAATCACACGCAAATACCGATATTTGTTCGGGTAAGGTTTACAAAAAGAAGCAATTACTTTTCTAAAACAATTCCTCTCCGTAAATGTAAGCCAGATCTATGTGTCTAGAGCTTTCATCTACCGCCGACACAAAACGAACATTTGTACAATGTATTGAACAAAACAACACTTTTGTTCAATACTTTGTTTGCAAAACTTACTATGACGTCTACAACAATCATGTTTTCCCATTGGTGATAAGCCGTATAACACTGAAACGGGACAGGAATTTGAAATATTCCGCAGGATTGTCTTAATACAACAGTTGAAGGAAAGGCAGACATTATGAAATGGAAAGTAATGATTAGTTGAATGTGTATTCTACAGCATTCAACAGATGATTGACAATTCTCGAAATAGTGTGATGAAAATTTTACAACTGTACCAATTTTTGAAGTAGATTTAGATTATTTTCTAGACGATAAACAGCATCTGTGTAGTAAATACCTGGTTGAGGAATTTTACAAAAAATTACAACAAATCTACACTTTTAATCGCATTAGACACCTCTAGAAAATCTGAGAGAGAAGGTGGAAAGCTCTTTGCTGAACACATCAAACTTTGGAAGTTACACAGTTCGAAGAATTATATTTATTGTTCTAAACTCTAAATGCCGACTTCTGACATGTCTGTACAAGGTCAGGTAGAGATCCCCTTCCCTGCATTGAAGGGAAGTCGCTATTTGTTTCCGAGCTCTCAGCTTCCTAAAATTTCCTGGTTTCATATTATTCTCATATTATTTCTTTTCTTTATTATTTCCTAACATTATTCTCATTATTTCTCGTTTTGTTATTATCTCAGCTGTTTGTTCCACAATACCTTTTTTTTTTGTGTCATATGTATTAAAAATATTGATTCGTGTTTCTTATGTTTTATGATGTTACGCAACAGTCCATATAAATTCAGCTTATCAGCTTGGGAGCAGTGTTTCTTGAATCTGAAAAGATAATTTTGGACATCAGCAAAGTTGCTTAGAATTGATGTACAGCAAAATTTATGTACCTATATGTTTACGTAATATTTTTAAACGGATATACATAATTTTGAAAACAGGAAAGCTTTAAATATATTTTAAAAACTATTTAAAATTCAATGAAAATTAAAAACAAAAATTGGAAGATCTATGTTATGGACAGTCTTACGTTTAAAAGATTTTTGTCTGCGAAGTATTTTTGATATCAAATAATATGGGAACCGGAAAGTAATGTTTCTGCGCATGTCGACACAACATGCTTAAGGCAGAAGTGGAAGCAAATCCATGTCAAACACTCTTAACCAACCTTGGTCGACCATTCAAGAACATTTAAAGCAGAATGTAAAAATAAGCAAAGCAGGTGTTTGAGTCCCCCCATAATCTGTCCGAAGAGAACAAAGCCAACCGATCCGCGGAATTATTCATTTTGAATTGCTGAAACCTGGACAAACTGTTAATGCAGATCTTTATTGTGAACAATTGGATCGAGTGAACCAATCTTTAATCGGAAAATATCCGGCGATTGTCAATAGAAAAGGCATCATTCTGCAACACGACAATGCAAGACCACACTGTGCAAGACGGACACTAGAAAAAAATGAATGAATTGGGCTGAGAGGTGCTGCATCACATGCCATACTCGCCCGATATCGTACAACACTCTCGTTCCATTTATTCCGATCCCTACAACATTTTCTTAGTGCCAAAAAATTTGAAAATTTGAATGATGTCCAAAAATGCCATCTTGAGATATTTTACTCAAAAACCAATTGATTTATATCGGTCTAGGGATTAAAAATCTGCACACTAGATGGCAAAAGGTTGTTGATAACGAGGGCGATTACATTATTGATTAAAAATAAAAAAGTTAAAAATTTATTCGTGTGAATTTAACGTAAGAAAGCGACATGACTTTCCGGTCCCCCTAGTATATCATTTTTGTGTACCGAACAACTGAGAATATCAAAATGCGTAGGAATTGTGATTAGCCTTAGAAAAGAATATTAAATATATGGGTTTTTATTCATCATTAAACATTAACATTGTAAACATTAGCACTGGCACAAAAATTATCTTTCATGATTTACATAAAGCACATGTGAGTTAAAACTATTGCACAAAGGACATGATAGATATTTATTAATTTTACCTTTCAGACAATCGACATTCCTGGGCCAATCACATGTTTGAAGTTCAAGGCTAAAGTGTAAGCCTCCTGTGCATTTTTCATGTAAAGCATCTCCAAAAACGCACACGTAGTACTTAGAACAGTCTCGAGAATCTCGATAATATCCGAATTGTTCAGGGCATTTGAAAGTATCTTCGGCAGAAATCAAGCAGAATGCTAGAGCTGTAAAAGAAAGAAAATTAATAGAGCTTTTGCTGTCAATATTTACAAAATAAAATACAACGAGATTACTTAATATTTTATAAAATGGTAGGTAAACATGCAGTTAATTACCAACTAAATTTAATATTTTATAATATAAAGATTAGTCTTATTTCATTAGTTATAAATTAAAGAACAGCGAGTTCATATATTATTTTGTAATGTAAAAGAAAATTATTCTTTTATCAGTAGCCTAACCGATAAGTTTACAGAAAACTGAAGGTCGCCATGAGGATCAATTTCAGGTGACTTAAGTTACCTTTTCATAATTACATGTATTGTAATATTGCAAGAGGAGAAGATTTACATTAAATCACATTTTTCAAGAAAAGTAACTTTCTAACGCCTTCCCATTATAAATACATAACTTAGATTTTACTTTTGCTGGATATCGATTTCAGAAATGCCAGTACTTTTGCAAAGCATCTGAAAGCCATAAATTTAGAGGAATTTGGGCTAATAAGTGGATCTCAACCTGAAATTTACGCAGTAATTGTGGGTCGAAATTTGGTCCCGTTTGAAAGACGTATTCTGAACTATCTACACTTACAGCGTTATTTTGTTGCATTCTAGGTGGTGGTGTATTTAATTATGGCAAAGCACACTAGGGCTATCTGCCTAAGGGAAGGGATGCCTTCGTGGAGGACTTTCCAAGGAAAACTGGATCGTATACACGTTAAACATGGGGAACCGGGGGAAACATGGGGAACCTCCAACCACGAAAACACTCATGCAGCCAGCCTGTTCGCGGGATTCGAACCTCGGACCGAACTACCAGTGTTCAGCGACTTTACCACTCGGCCGCTGGTGGGCGTTGCATTCTAGAATAAATAAGCAATCTTTTTAGCCCAAAGGGGAGTTAGCCCAGAACGACTATTAGTCTTGAAACGGGTCGAATCACTATAAAAGGCTGTATTACTTTTCAAATCGTTGCCATCAAATATTATCGCCTTGTATTACATTTAGAGAAATTAAATAATGAAGAATTTGCATGAAGGTATGTATGTTTCTCGCATTGTGAAAAAACGTCGACACCTAAAGCCATCAAATTTTGAATAATGTCTTCCACTCGAATATGGGCAACTGGAAGCTCCAATCGTGAATTTCGAATTTTTTTGTGTATTTCATATTTTTAAAACTTTAAAGAACTGTTGATTAAGAAAGACAAAGATTTCAAAAGAGAGCAATGGTAACACATTATGCGGAATAAATTGTGTTTACCTTCAGCGCGCGAAACTCCGTAACGGAAATTCCAAGGGCTTTAAATATTTTTAGCTCAAATGCTCTCGAAACTTGCATTGTATGTGTGAAGGAAAAAAACACGCCTTTGGGCGTTTTATTTTAGATTTGGGGTAACCAGAAGAGCTGTTAATCTCACAATATAATCTTGCGCTGAATCGCTAAAAGCGTTGTACCGCTTATCAAATTGTAGCCACCAAATATTATCGCCCTGTATTATACTTAATTAAACAATGAAGAATCTGCATGAAGGTGTGTATGTTTCTCGCATTATGGAAAAACAACATACCTAGAAACAACAAATTTTGAATAATGTTGTCTTCTACCCGAATATGGCCACCTGGAAGCTCGAATTTCGAAATTTTTTTTGTGCATTTCATATTTTGAAAAACTTTAACGAATTTTTGATCAAAATGCTCAATGATTTTAAAGCGAACAATGGCAACAATTTACGGGAAAAAACATTTTTATCTCCAGCGAGGGAAGAACCGTCTATCGGAAATTCTAAAGATATGCTGTTCTTAATTTTTTTCCCCAGAGGGGCGTTTAATCTAAATGCTCTCGAAACGTGTATGTACGAGTAAATGGAAAAAAAAAAAAAAAAAAAAAAAAAAAAAAAAAAAAAACCGCCCTTTTCGGCGTAATGCAAAATCTGAAAGCTTTCAGGTTTTTACCCACTTTCTTTTGTACTTTGTGCCTTCCTCTTCAAGCAGCTTACTTTTTCTGCCTCAGTATTAAGATGCCATATAATAATTACTTTCACTTTACAAACACCGTTTAGTTATATACAGATTTTTATATTCTGAAATTTTTCAGTTAATGTTAAATGTTTACCCAGTGAAAATATTCTGAATAACCTTAAAAATATCCCAAGTCAAATGAAAAATTATCGGAGAATTATCATATGAATTGTCGGAGAGCGAAATGGCATGTACAGGACTGAATACATTATTTTATTAAAGTGGATAGTATGTAATTAGTATAAACGTAATGAATAAACTACTTAAATATTTTGCTATTAATATCTTAAATGCTCACCGCCAAATATCTATACCTATTCTTCTGCTGAACTGCGATATTATAATGAGTTCGTAATCCCAACACGGAACTGTTTTATTGATAAGCTGCCATATAATGTGCAATAAAGTTCACATAATGCTTAGTTAATGAGAACCAAAATAAAAATTACTTAATTTAATTAATTTACTTGTAATCATTGTCTAGTTAATTGATCAGTAATCGATCTTAAAGATAATAAATTTATAAACATTTTGAAAATATTTGCTTCAAGATTCGGAATATCATTTATCTAAAACAGTAGAAAATTATTTTATCTTAGAGTATTCAACCATCTAGCTTCACCTGAAACACCAAAACAAACTTCCCTTGAAATCTGCAGCTGTATCAACGAAATAAGGTCGGGACCTGTACCTTTTCTCACTTCTCAGGAGTATCATCCATTTTATGCCAGATTACGAAATCCTGTATGTTATTATTAAGACATGCACGAACAACTGATTAGTGAACGAAAGCTGTCTCTTTTTTTTATTATTTTTTTTTAAAGAACGAAAACTTCGCCTCTGGTTAGATAACGTCTTCAAAAATCACTGCTACAACCATGTTGAAGAAGTTAAAACCGAAACCAGTTTTCCTTCGAATCCAAGCACGCAAAATAAAAGTCATTTAACTGCCATTAAGTGACATTTTTAGGGTTGAAATGTTCCATGGTACAGACACCGCGTTAAAAAATTCAAATCGCAAAACCCCCTTTTCCTTTCATTTGCGTCGCCTTAAAATATAGGTCATCTTCTTTTGTCTTCGCATGCAGGCAGAATGCTCAGTTTTTAATTCACGAGATGATGCACGCAATGCATTTTAATACAAGCTGGCTGACAAGTGACCACATTGCCCTAGGAGATGAAATTTTGAGTGTTGAACTCGTGACAACAATAAAAGGGAAAGTTGGAACAATATAGTATTTTTGGTTTGCGTTTCTTTCTCACGAGTAACTTTGATGTGAATCAAAATATCAACTTGAATAAAAAGTACCTTTCGCTGAAAGCGCGCTCATCTTAAAAGGATTACGTCATATTTACATATCACATGTTAAAAGAATACTACTAGATTTAATATGCAAGATCAAATTTTCATTATGCAATGATTTCACGGTTTTCAGCTTTCTTCCTGTTCTTACATTTATCATATGAGATTTTGCTCGCTTAAATTCATCCGATTCAGGGAAATTACACGAGCTTGTATTACTAGCTGATACCCGCCCGCTGGGCACACTATCTATTCGAATATGAACCTAGACTTTTTATATGGACGAAATGTCCAATTTCGAATTGATAATTAATGTAATTTTTTTTTTAATTTAAAGTCGAGAAATATAGTGCTAGTCAGTGAATCTGTCATACACAGATTTCCACATTACCCATGAGGTACTGTGTATTGGGATGAGTTCCCATTATTTAACATTGTGGGATCCCCAGTAGGCCTACACCACGAAAAATTGACAACATAAAAATAAGGTTTATATATATTTAACTGTTATAACTTTAAAATTTAAATAACTTTAAATAAATTTTATGTTTGATATCAAATTTTTTAATCAATTATAATTATTTTGTGCTTGATTTGTTATGTATGGCAATTTTTATAAATAACAACACTTATTTTTCAACACAATAATTTATTTCTCTTAATATTTATTTTCGTGAAATTTATGATAACTTCAATATAAATGTTATTAACCTTATCATTTAAATGTTGTTTGCATTCATGGGATAGAAGCGAGTTATTTACCAGTTGAATAATTTTAAAGGAAAATTCATTCATTTAAAATATTGCATTTCAAATCTAGTTTTGGCAACAATAAATAAAATTCGGAACGTTGATTTGAAAACCAAATGTATAAGAAGCTTCTATTGTGTAACAAAAATCTATTTTGAGCAGGATTTATGTAAAATTCGTTCTTAAAGCGCGTCTACATCGTGGAATGAGTAACTATGCAAAATTTCAAGTCAATCGGATGAATAGTTTCGGAGATTTCGTGACGAGTCTGTGGTATTTCGCTTATATATATATATATATAGAGAGAGAGAGAGAGAGAGAGAGAGATTTTTTTTTTTTTTTTTTTTTTTTTTTTTTTTTTTCAGGTTAGATTATTTGATTACGGCAAAGCCTCTAGGATTATCTGTCTAATGGGACGGATGCCTTCGTGGTGGACTTTCTAAGGCAAACTGGCTCGCATACATGTTACACATGGGGAAAACCACGAAAACACTCAAGCAGCCAGCCAGTTCGCGGGATTCGAACCTCGGACCGAACTACCAGTGTTCAGCGACTTTACCGCTCGGTCGCCGGTGGGCGAACTCGAATCTGGATCCCTCGAATACGCACCGAGTGAGCTACCGTTACACCACGAAGCCATGCTAGAAAGAGGAAGAAAATACCTTATATACTTCTGGCGTGGCCTTTTATTGACACGATACCAACTTATTTAGTTAGGAGGGTCGGGCTGCGTCCACTTCTGATACCTTACATACTCCCCCTTTAAAAGGCGACTGGGGATTAGGGAAATCTGGTCGCCAAATCCTGGTGGGGCTAGATTATTGTCCACCTCCCACACCTTTTATTTCGGGCTTGTCATTAGCTTATTTTTGAAGCAGGGGACATGAAAAATGCGCATTGCCCTCGTCGGGACTTGAACCCTAGACGCA